GAACTGGAGCTGATTGATGTGGCAACATGCTCAAGAAGAGTGCAGTGAGTGCTGGGAGTGTTCTTCACTAGTCAATGGAAGCTTGGTGTCAGGGTTACCTAACTGGAACCACATCTGGCTTTCTAAACTAGTAATTTCACTTACTTCAGATGAAGTTGTGGACTTGCAAGGAAACTGTAAGAGAGCTTGGTAAATTGGTACTAGCTGAGCATGCCACTATGTGGTTAATTACCAGCATAATTCACAGAACTACCAAAATCTTCCTGCTGGTGATGATTTTACGAGGCATCAACTATCAGAAGAGGTCACTGAAGCTAAATGTTAATAGCTAGATTTGTAGGCTGCGTCTCATGCTATGTGTAAATTGTCATCATCTTTAGTATTAGATCCATTAGCTCTCTAGTCTTTCATATGTTCAGTTCTTTCATAAGTTTTGGACCCAGAAAAATTGCACAGAGGCTTTTTTTTGTGATATGGAGAATATTTTGTCAGAGGAGGGGATGGTGCATCTTGAACAAAACAAGAATCTCTGGTAAATCTTTTTTTTAATCTGTCTGGGGCCTGTTGCATCTTTGAGCTAGGTTGCTTTACTCTAGATTGGTCCAGGTGTTCTGCTTACACAGCACCTTCTCAAAAGGTCAGATTTCATTTTCCTCTCTGCAGTGTTCCCTCTGAGTACAGCAGGTCAGCTCTGCCTGCTGCTAACTTATGAAGGAAAATAATGTTCAAAAGTGGTGGGCTATCTAACCTTAGCTGTGGCATATTGACCTCCAGCTGCTTCCATGAATCTGGAAGTTCCACAGAGGGCACCATGGCCTTGTTTCTAAAAGGTCATTTCAGAGCTCAAGAAGGAAGTGCTTAGCTTTGCCAGAAGAGCAGATTCTGACTTTTGGCTCTTGCATTCATTACCTGGAATGCTAAGCTGAGAGAAAGCATACTCCAAAAAAGTGCTTGAGAAATTATATCTTCTCAATATCTATCTAAATTGAGTTTTCAAGCTCTTCGTAGCTTAAAGTCTTTTTGGATTGCAGCTGGGAGAAATGGCTGTCTTTAGAGTTCTTAAAACAGAGGAGGTTTTTCAGTTTTAAGGAGGCCCGAGATCCTTGAGTAAATGTACAGTGCCTCTTGATTCAAATTTCAGAAATACTGGGTTTGTCCAGTTTCAGCTAGATTTCCATGCACTCCATAAAACCTGAATATACAGTGACTGTTTTGCTGTTAAGAAAGCAAATGTGATTGCACATCTTGTGTGCAAAGCTCTGATGTGACTAAAATTTATAAAGATTTTTTCAGTACAATGAACACACAAAGTGAGAAGTTTGAGTTGTGAACTTAAATATGAAAGTGTTCAAGCAGTTTGTGTTCATGTAAATTGAAATACATTCCTATAGCACATCTTGTCATCTTGCTGCTGTCATAGTTGAATTAATCTGTTATCATCAATTTCTCTCCTTTGCTCAGGGAGGCCCTTCACTGACCTGTTACCTTTAGATCAGTTGCATCTTCTGCTTGAATATCACATTGACTGTTCCATTGTAGTGCCAAAGCTTTTATTATTAACTCCTGGAAAAGAAACCATATATTCTTTCTTGAGGGATGAAGGTATTTGTACTGCAAAACCGAATCCCCAACTCCCTACTCATATTAGGAGGTGGTAGGTGCTCAGTGAAACAATCTGTTCTGCAGTGCCTCCATGCTCTTCTGTGAACTTAGCTTCAAAATATTTCAACCCTATAAGCATGCCCCTTCTCTGACCTTCACAAGTAATGTTATCCAATATTTAAGCCATGTGCATGAGCCTGTAAACTCCTTTGGAGTCTGGTTAATATCAAAAGAAAAGGCAAAACCTACACAGAGACTTTGAGATATGGAGAATATTTTGTTGGAGGAGGGGATGGTGCAGCTGAAGCACAGCCATAATTGCAGGTACAGGAATTCTCTTTAGGCCATTATCACTATTCACTGCTACATGTGTGCTGCTTGATGTTAATGCTGGAATTGAAATATGTAATATGCTGTTCTGAGATTGAGGTTTGGTTTTTAAATCTGAATCTGTAAACTGGGTCACCATTAAGCAGCTTTACTTATGTTTTTTTATTGGCCCTGTTGAAATTATTTGTTTAAGGATGCCTCTGTCTGCTCCCCAACAAGAAGAACATTCATAATCTGGAAGACTGAAATACAAAGTGTCTTATTCAGTCCTGTGTTGCAGAACACACTTGAGAGATACGGAAAAGTAATTATTCCACTTTCTACTGTTGTGTGCTTACACAGCATTGGTGCACTTGTAGTTTTAAAAGAGTTTGCCATGCTATGGGATAGGAGGTCCTGGAAAAGCTGCCTCTTTGAAGAACCATGTTTTAGTGGATTAGTTTTCAAGAAGAGTCCCTCAGCTGAATGCCCTAATTTAAAAATTCCTTGACTTAATAGGTGCTTCTCACAGGCTGAGAAGTCTGATCTGAATTCCTGGGAAATAAGTTTGTTGTTGGGAAGCAGGTCTTGCATTTCCTTGAGTTTCAAGGAGAAGATTGAACACATGAAAAAGCCAGTGCACACCTCCTGATGATGCTGTGTGTAGAGTCCTCTGTGATCACCTGGGTTACACTCCACGTCATAGTGCTGAAAGTCTGGATTCATTTGGTCATTCTGTAGAAGTTAGAGCAAAGACTTGGGTTATTTTCAGCAGTTTGGGATTAATTGCCCCTTCCTTCTCAAGCTTTGTCTGGTTGCTGAATCTTGCAGATCCCACAAAATAAATCGTATGCTGTTCTTAGTTTGACCAAGAAATTCTGTCAGCCCAGGTTCTGAAAATTTGTTTTGCCAAAAAATTTGTTTTGAGTTCACATTTTTTCAGTTTCCTTGACTCTTAGTAATGATTCTTGGTGTCATGTTATCTTACCTCCAGGTGAACATTATTCTTCAGTAAAAGAAAAAATCAGGAAAAATAGAGCATATACTTGTTTGTTGATATCGTTAGACTAATTTGAAAGTTGATTTTTTAAATGTTTTTTTGTGCTTGAATTCAAATGTCAGATTGTTCATGGCTTGTTCTTAAATAATTTGTGTTGAGATTTTTGGGTGTGTCTTGCTTGTCTTGCAGCAGCACTCTAGTGAGCTCTTGGCATTTCAGAGCAGTGGTTAGTGGGTAGATTTTCAACCACTGTAAAACATGGGAATGTTAATGAAAAGGCTGCTTTGTTATGAAATGCAGTTTTCATACTCCTGCTGCAGGTATTGATTTCTGAGACTTGTGGTAACATTTGAAACTGTTTTGATAATTTACCTGATCTCAAGTAATCTAACAACTATTTAATTTTTCTTCCACTTTTCATTTCTTTTAGCTGGGATGTGACAGCAAACATAAGAAGAACTGTTGAAACTTGATTTTTCTCCTGGTTTTGGAAAAGTCTAGTTTTACTTGTAACTCTGTGATTTAATGGGAAAACTGTTCATTGGCCACAGATGACTACTGCTGAGAGGCTTTCTGAAATCTGTTTTTGATTACAGTGAGGTAGTAAAAAAGTGCTATAATGACACCAGTTCCATTTGAGATTCCTTTTGTCCTAAACAATAATGGGTTTGTCTGACACTGAGTGCTGCAGTTACGCAAAACAATTTCTCAGTCATCATAGGTCACATGTATTACACAGAGATGAAGAGCCAGTAATTCACATCTTTATTTTTGTGAAAGATTATAACTTTTCCAGTTTTTCAACAATCACTGCTCTCTAAGAAGAAGGGACATGGAAATGCACTGTACTGTGCACAGGTTATGCTCCCCATCGGAAGTGAATCCAGAGTGCAAAATGCAATGGGAGCCCTTCTCCAGTGAGACCCAGGCGTGTACTTAAAATAGGAAATGGTTATTGGAACTAAATTATTTTGCCATTTTTATTTTTAGGTTTGCTGGCATGGGTAATCTCATTAAGGTGCTAACCAGGGACATAGACCACAATGCAGCACATTTTTTCTTGGATTTTGAAAGTAAGTCTCTCAGCCCTTCACAGCTGGTGCATTTCAAATGGTAACAGTAGGGTTGCTTATACCTGCTGCAGTGAAGGCCAGGGGACTCAGTTGCAAAGTTGGAATTTGGAAGAGTTGCATGTAGTTTTTCTGTTATTTTTTTTTCCCTCTCCAGTAGTAGCCAAGCCACCATCATGCTGCTGTGTAAATTTTCTTTCCATGTGCTTAGTCATTTTGGGTCTCTGTGGTCAGTGACGTCCATCCATCTGCCTGCAAATCAAATAATCATGAAATGAGAAATTCTGTCAGTATGCCATAGTAATCTGTGCTGAGCAGTTGTTCGCTGTGATCCTCTCATACACAAGAGTGGGTGCTAAATCATTCCTGATCCTGCTTTGGTCATTCATTGTGCCGTTAATGTAATATTTTTTTTTTTTTTTTTTTTTTTTTTTTTTTTTTTTTTTTCTTCTGAAAGTCTGAAGTTTAACTGAGTTTCACAGATATTTTAAGCACCTTGTGTAAAAAATCTGTGGCATATCTCTGTTAGCATTTTCTGCACACTGAAATGATGTATCATGATGTGGTTTTCTACAATGGCCTTCTGACACAATTATAAGGGCTGACAAAATTAAAGCTCTTTTCCTTCTGTTGTCCCATCAGGTTAAAATGTAGCATGGCTAATGCTTTCAAATCTGGTACTTGGCCCTCAAGGCAGTACTCCTGCTCAGGACACTGGTGCTAGGGTGTACTGGGACAGAGCAGTCCCTGGCAAAGCCTTTGCTTGGATTCTGCCCCTTTCCCCAAGGGGCAGCTCCGAGGATGTTGGTGACACGGTCACTCCTTACAGGAAAGCTGCACTGCTGGGTCACCAGCTGTGCCTCCTCGAGGTGGGGATGTCCCTTCACCCAGCCTGAAGGACGGGTTCGTACCTGATGGAACTCTCTGGTCTTCTTTTCCCACTGCTTCAATCAACTACATTTGGGCTGTTCTTTCTTATAAAAAGAAAATTCTCTTTTCTCTCATTCTTGTCTTGGCAGGTACCTTAACATGGGGAACCTTCTAAAAGTTTTGACATGCACAGACCTTGAGCAGGGGCCAAATTTTTTCCTTGATTTTGAAAGTGAGAAGATGATTTTATATATCTATTACTCTTTGCCTGCAGTAGACTGCATTTGTCTTGTACTAAATGTATGTTTTCATTTTGCCATCCTTCTAACTGCTTTGCATGCCTGAGCTATGTATAGTTGTTCAGCAAACTTTGGTAGAAAGCAATAACCTGTTCTAAAATATCCTCAGGTCCTAAAATGTAAAATCTTTATTTCAGGAAGGGCTTTAAAGTTACATTTGACTGTTGAAACCTGATTTGGTTCTTGTTTTTTAATCCAAAATTTTGCCTACTTTTAATCAAAATGTTAAGAATAGTTGTAATTATTTGGAGACTTATGGAAGTTGCAACTGACTTACTCAAATTTGTGAGTTTTGTCCCATGCTCCTTAAAGGAAGAACTGAAATGAAACCCGAGTCTCATCACTTCCAATGTGACTTAATAATGCTGCATGCACAGACTGGCTCACAGCAGCTATTCATAGCTCCAGCATCATCATGTTAAAGGTTTATGTGAACCTTACTGGATCTGGCACTGAAATTTAACCTCGTGCTTCTTAAAAGGGAGTCTCAACGTGTATAGAGATGAAATTGATTTTGAAAAGAGGAGACATGTAGCTTGTTTGATCAATGCCAGCTGTTCTAGAAGGTTCACATATGTCAGTATTTCTGCTTTTGGTTTTTGTTGCATGATACAGTATAGCCTAAGAATGGCAGGTAAGTGTTGCTGGCTTCTGCTATGCATGTTTAATTACTTTCTTTTGAGATGTTCTCTTTCTTTAGCCAGCAAGCATTAAATAAGAAGATTAATGTTTAAGTACATTTTGACCATGTAATAGAGTACAATGGAATAGCATAATAAAAAAACTGATGAAGTATTATGATATGGATAATTTGAGGTGCATTAAATCTTTTTTCCCCTGAATTGTTTTTCAGTTGTTTGATGAAAAATTAGCAGTTTTTAATATTATTTATATGAAAACAAATGCTTGAAGAAATATGGTTTTGCTTTAATCACACTTGAAGTTACAGCTTCTCTAAACTCTTACCCTGTTGTGTTGATTTTTATCACTTGTCTCTTCTGAATACATTGTTATTGGAAGATGCTAGCCATACAAATTATTCATAAAGGGAAGATTATCAAGGCCTGTGTGCAAAAATTAGGAATCAAAATTTGCCTAAGACCAATTCTCGCATATTATCATCATATTAGGTAAAATTTGGTCAAGTGGGAGAACTTATGTATGAGGCCATTGGAGTTGTGAAGCTCCAGCTTAATCTGCAAATATTGAAAATTTAACTGGAATAAATGAAATTCACGTCAGCTGGATAGAAGAGGCATAGTTCTAAAATAAATTGCAGTAAAAATTGCTCATTTTTTATTTTTAAATACAGATTCTTTAGCTATCAGTTTTGGTTTAAAATGCATGTTTTGAGCATGAACAGGATTTGGCATGAGAGTAAGCAGGTTGCTGACATGAAATGCTTTCATATACAGTCAAATTAGGTGACTTATATTATGGCTGAATTGTTAGACTGTTCTTTGTTCATTTTGGACCCTGTTCTGCATTTGTTTCTGCTGCTATACTGTGTATCCGTGCTCCTTTCTCCTCTGTTTCAGATAGCTTGCCTTGACAGGATCTTGGCTTTGACACAGCCAAGATCTTTCTTCAAGACTTGGCACTTAATCTTGTGATACTTAATGTTGTGCTTTTGTGTGGAAGGACAAGTAAGCTCTGTATTAAAAACAAATTTGCCAATTCTGTGTTACGCCTGACTCAATAATAGACGGCTTGAAGTCTTTTGTTCTTAAATCCATGTATGTGAGCAGGCTCCAATGTTTTTTACATAGTACCATAAAGAACTAAAACCTAATGTTCATAAAGCTTTGTAGTGCTAGAAACTTCAAATTTTAGACTTCTAACCATTATTTTTCCCCAGATGTTTATCTGGGTGCTAGATGCCAGTGATTGGTGTGACTGACTATCAGAATCCATGCAAAAATTATGATGAGCTGTAGGCTTTTCCTTGCCTCTGCACTGATTAAGCTTATGCTTTCTTTGGTCATTCACCTTACCTATTTGAAACAAATAGTTGTCTGAGTGTTTTTTTAAAGTCTGTGCAGTGCCATTAGAACATGAGCAAAGCACACAGGTCAATATTGATTACATAAATAAGCCACCTAAAATATGGGAAACTTACAGCTCAACTTTTACACAGTTGCATATCCTTTCCAAATTTTCTGATTTGAATAGTAGCTAAAATACAGTGTACTTTGAGATGGTGATATCGAGCTAGCACTGGCAGTATCTTGCATTATCCCAGAGGACTTGGCCAGATTTCAGAGGAGCCACAGAGACAGCATTCTCCATAGTAATGCCAACAGAGATGAATAAATTATTTCATCTCCAGCAGTCTGGCATTTTTTTCCCCTTGTTTGTGAGTTTTATCCCAGACAGTTTCAGATGACTTGATGTGTTCTTCCTTGGGAAAAATCTCAGCTTAAATAGTTTGCTGTGCAGTGTAAACTTTTAACCCCAAATTTCTCTCCCTACTAGTTCTATAGGCTAGCCAAATATTATTTTAATAGTCACTAAATGTGTGTGTTCCTCACATGCAATATGTTGTCTCACTTCTGTAGTATTTAGTTCACATAACAGCGTTTGTATATTGTTTCAAGTCTCCTCTTCTGTCTCTAATACATTACTGTGTGAGCATTCTGAACTCTGTGTATATTGCATCTAGTGCAGTAACATTCTGATTAAACACAAATTAATTTAAATATGAACTCCAATGTACTTACAGAACCTCAGTCTTTCTTACTATTGCATTAAAAATAGTAAAGTTGCCCTGAATAACCACAGGTCAGCTCCTGTGGCCACAATATCAAACCTCAGAACATCTGGGTGAGCTGTGATGTGCTTACTGGGTTTGTTCTTTCTATGGAAAGCACTGCTGATCAAGGCACAGCCTTGTAGCAGGACCTTAAATGGACTGGGGAGAAGGGAAATCCATTAAATTGTGTATCTCCTTCATCCTTCTGATGCCTGGCACTGCTGCCTGCTTTTTCTTAGCTGAGTAACTCCAGAAGTGCAACTCCCTTTCCTGCTCTGTGCACTCCACCTTGGGGAAAAGGAGTTCCACAGTTGGTGATTCTCAGGTGAATGCCCTGTAGCTTGAGCCCTCAGGTACATGCTGAGGGGTGCTGTTCCCATGGTATGGGAAGGCTGTTTCCATCTGTTCAAGATGACAAGAGTGCTTAGGAAGAGGGACCTCTCCCTCTTTCTTCCCTGTGATGGGCTTCCAGAATACATTGCCCTGACCAGCACTGGGAAACAAATAAACCAAGTTTGCTCTGGGTCAGCCAGCATTAGGCCCTGAAGGTTTTTTATATTGTGCATTTTAACCCTGTTCTAATAACATCTTAAATGTTTTGTGAAGGGATTATAAAATAATTTAAATTTTCCTTTAAAATTTGACCTCATTTTCAGAGATGGCAGAGGAAATGAGTTGGGACAAATCAGGTTTACAGATGTCTTTTATTGGAGAGGACTAGATTGATCAAAAATGAAATACATACGAAAAGAAATAACTCAGTACCTATTTGGTTTTCAAATAGAGTGATGTTTAGAAGTTTGTAATAATCAGAACAAACAAATTAAAAAACCCCACCATCCCAACAAATTAAATATCTGCTATTGGTTTAAGTTACCTGGGACATTTTAAGGAAATGAAATACAGTAGTTGGCTGTTTACATCCTACACTAAGAGAGGTGATGATGGTGTTGATTTGCCTAGCCAGCTGTCCAGTGAAAACCACTAAATTTGTATCTAGGAGATGATTTTCAGTTCTAAACATGGAGGGTCATAGTGCTACAGCTGTTCTGCTTGTTGGTGGATTTTGAAATGAGGAGCAGGAATTCTTTTGGCCCCTTCTGCTTTGCCCCTCCCAATCTTGAAAAATGAACTCTCCTTGCTACATAGGGTAAAGAAAAAAATGGCATGAAAAATTAAATAGCCAGGAGATGTTCTCAGTGTGAGACAATCCAAGTGACAAGTCTTGATTGCATTATTTAACAGCACAATCTGGAATGCTACAGAGCTTCACGTCTTAGTCTGTATCTCACTGTAACATTTCATGTTCGTGCATGAGCTGCTGCCAGTCAGCTGGTGCTTCCCTGTCTGCTCTTTTCCCTCATTTTTTGTCTTCATTTCTTACAGCAGTCTTCAGCAGCTTTCAAAATTATGCGACCTTTGTGATGATCTGAAAAGCACTGGCCACTTTTACTCGATGCCTAATCAATGTGGTGCTCTTTTATTTATTTATTTTCAAAGGAGTGACCAGGTTCTTTTTAACCTGTGCTAATTCTTGATGTTTCTCAAAATACTAGTTAAACTGTTGCAAGGTCTATATATAGGCATATTTGCTAATAATGCCCACTCTTTATGCATTAAACGATAAAAATTAGAGGTATTATGAAAAAAAATACAGCAAAAACCAGATAGGCAATGTATATGAAATTATTTTCTCCTAATGGAAACTTTGTTTTTTCTTGTGTTTTTCTAGTGTCTAATACTAAGATAATGTGTGAGTTTTATTTCAAATGTGAAGATGTACCTAACTTCCATGGGAAGCATGTCTAAAAAAAAGACATTTTACAGACTCTTCAAACTGCACAAAGTCATGAGGATATATTGTCCTTAGATAGTTTCTGTCTGTCCCTATAAAAAGGAATCTGTTGTTAATACTCTCTTTTTTGGCATTGGAAATAATGGACTAAAATGCAATGATATTTATTCCATAACACATTTTGCCCATGTTAACAGAGAAGTGGGTTTTTTTTGTAAGAGCTTTAGTAACTAACATTTTTTATTTTTTTTTAATATGAGTCTAAAAGGAACCTTATAGCTTCCATCATCATTTTAAAAGAAAAAGAATTTGTTTCAGGTAAACCATGTCTGAGATACTTGTCCTAGGTGATTGTTTTTAAAGGTTAAAATATTTTGTTGATTCTTCTCAAAACATACTTCTTACAGAATCACATTTCTTTAAATATGTATATATAACTTTTTGAAATTTCGACCCAATATGCTTTTTGGGAAGACCTTAGCTAATTAAAAGATAATGGAAAACAGCTTATATCTTCAAAGACGGGACAAAAAAGAAAAAGCCCTTCACAAGCTCACACTAGGTCTTTTTGTTCTCAGCTCTGATTGTGCGATAAGTGCAGTAAGGAATAATTTTTAAGAATCAAATATATTTAGAAGTAAAATATATGGCTCTTTCCCCAGGCAGTTAAAGATGAGGCAGACAAGATGAAAAATAATCTGATGCAGTGGTTCTAGATAATAATAGACATGGATACCTCCTGTGCTATCTGCAGTGAGCGTGTCTTTTGAGAGCTCTAAGTTTCTTCCAGTGAGCCTCTTATGCACCCCCAGGTGAGATTATATGTTAAAGACAACTCATCAGGATTTCTTCTCCCAGCTCAGTTTTAAAAAAGTCAAGAAGATAGAATCCAGGTGAATTTTTGGGATGGTAAATAAAGAGACTACTAAAATGAATACAATTAGTCTCTTGGAGTTCCTTATACATTGTAGTAGCTCTTCAGAGAATGAAAATTCTTGATGAGTTGCTGCATGAAGAATTTGTCCCATAGGTGATGGTGTGCCTATTGAATTCCATGTTGTTGTTAAAAATAAATATATATACATTTAATATGTTCTGCTGTTTAGATGCCCAACCTACAGAATCTGAAAAGGAAATTTATAATCAGGTGAATGTAGTGTTAAAGGATGCAGAAGGAATACTGGAAGACTTGCAGTCATATAGAGGAGCTGGCCATGAAATACGAGAGGTGAGCTAGAGCGTTACAATTGTGCACAGCCTGTGGTTGTTCATTGTCTGATCCTAACCAAATACTGCTGGGGTTTAACTTTGCTTGCAGGAGCTGTTTTGGCAGAGCATGTTTTCTTTTAAAATCACTGTCTTGAACTTCTGCTCTGGAATGTTTCTTTTTAACAGCAAAACAGATGTTGCTTGTTTCAGTCATATTAATCCACATATGTAATAGCAAATGATGCTTCTCAGAGTTTTTGGGGTGTTACTAATATTGATTTTTCTTTGTGTTCCCACATAAGCTCATCTCGAGTTGATAGTGAGTTTGGAAAGAGTGTGGTGTGACTACAGTGCAATACTGAGTAGTGTTGACATCCTCTTATATGGTAACTGGAGAAGCCTGGTTTGGTAATCCTAATACAAAAGGCATCTCATTTTCAATCCCTTTTAATTGGCTTTTATTTACTAAAGAAGATGTTTGGAACAGCAGCAAAGTTCCTGTACAGGGTGGAATAAATATTCACCCAACCCCCTTTCTTCCTCACATGCAGCTGGGGGCCTGCACATGGGGGCTGCTTTGCTCATGAAAGAAGGAGTTACTCATTGTAACATATTCTTAAGAAATAGTATTAGATAGGAGGAGTCTCTGTTCACTCCATAGCAATTTGAGATACTCCAAGCCATTCAGCTTTGAGAGTTTTTCTCTCCATGGAATTGCTAAGGTAGGTTTAAGAAGGATGACTGTGTCACACACAACCCTTTGGAGGGGAGACAGCTTACTTGTTCTTCAAGGAAGCAGCATGTTCAGGGACAGGCTGTAGGATCAGGTAGGAATGTGTGTGTGCAGATGCCATGGAGAAATGAGAGATACTCCTCTGAGAGGAGGAAGAAATGGCAAGAAGGAAACTCTCTAGGACCAGAGAGGAGTGTGCTGCAAGCCACAGCCACAGTTGACTGAAACAGTTCTTGAAATCAAGAAGTTGACAGTGAAAATGCTGCTGGAGAGTTATGAGCATTTTTGTTTCTGTTTTCTTAGTATATTTTCAGTTGCTGACTGGAGAGGTTGAATTTAAGGTATTATATGTCTGGAGAGTTTACTGTAAAGACAAAGTCTATACATGTATCCTTCAAAGCTGTGGTGTATGCTGTGTGCTGGTGGTGCTTTATGTTGTTGATTATGCTTAAATGTTCCTGCTGTAATAGTTAGCCTGAATTTCACAGCATTTTTTTTCTTTGCAAATTTGGGAATTAGTGATAGATATCAGCATTAAGATAAGGCTTTGATCACTATTTTTTTTTTTTTTTTTGCTTGGAGTAAGCAAAGTTAAGTTGTTAATTTTAATTAACTGGGTCTGGTTATGTAAATTTTCTTATCTGAGTAATTTGATTTTTAACCATTTCTTTATACTCTCTCCAAGTTGTTTTCCTGTTCAGGATGCTTACTTTCAACACAAATTTTTAGACCTTTTTGGAGCAGACATGGGTTAGTACATGCTTGTCTCTCAACTGAAAACTTCTTAGTAGGTAGATTTTTAATTATTAGCTCTTCAAACAGTTGTCTTGCATAGGTGTTTTGGTTTTTTGTGTTTTGCTGTTTGGGGTTCTTTTATCAGCAGTGTATCAGTTATTCCCAATCCAAGCATACTTTTCTCTTCTCTTTTTCTAATTTAAGGCCATACAGCATCCAAATGATGAGAAGCTGCAGGAGAAGGCATGGGGTGCAGTTGTTCCACTAGTAGGCAAACTAAAGAAATTCTATGAATTTTCTCAAAGACTAGGTAAGTGGAAAATCGTTAACTTGGGGGTTTTTTGGTCTTAATTAGTATATTTGGCATATTCAGATGTGATCACATTTAGGTCAACTCCTTTGTGGAAAAGAGCTCATATTGCACAGATTCCTCCGTACACTGGATAACAGCAATCTTGCTTCAGTGGATATCTGAGAGGGGAGAGAGAATGGGATCATCCTTGCTACTCTTCCTCTACTTCTTTAGTAACTCAGGAAAGCAGTAAGCAGCTGATTGATTGGAAATTAGTTAGCTAAATAATCAGGAATGAATTCTGTCAGTGTTTTTGATACCAAGAAAGAGACTGTATTATTCATCCCTAAACACCAGAAATAATTTGCTGTGTGGGAATGCCTGATCTTGGTTCATACACATGCAATACTTGAGATGGTGCTTTGTGCCTCTTCTGAAACTCACTGATGTGATGGCAATGCTGATAAAACCTATGAGACTTGTTTTTCACCAGCTTTCTGTTATCTCACTTTTAATCAAGTTTATTAGCATAGTTGGTAAAAAAGTGTATTTAAAACATTAAACTTGTTGCAGGCAAGTTCTGCTTTTTAAAATGGGTGAGATATTTTTCTCAAGAAGATGAACAGGAAGCTGGATTATAAATTTATCTTAAATAAGGTATGACTTCTGCTTACAGCTATGTGCCTCTTGAATTCTGTGTTCTCCTAAAGGCTGAAGTCTGCTAACATAGATTATTGAAATATGTTCTACACAAATGTTGCGGACAAAGCTTGAGTAGAACTTTTCAAGAACTTATTTTTTGTGGCTGTCAGTGCTGATGAGACATGGTCTGTACAGCAGTTTGAATGTAAATATGACAGCAGCTGACACATAGACGAGCAATTCATCAAGCCCTGTTATTATTAACCACCATGTATTTTGGCAGCTGCGTATTTTAACTCTAGCATGCAGAATAGCAGCCAGTACTGACCCAAGGTGCAGGTGTTGTTGCAAACTCCTCTCGTGTGGTTGCAGAGGCAGGACTGCGGGGCCTGCTGGGAGCCCTGACGAGCACTCCGTATTCCCCAACACAGCACCTGGAGCGAGAGCAGGCTCTTGCTAAGCAGTTTGCAGAAATTCTTCACTTCACACTCCGATTTGATGAGCTCAAGGTAAGAGCTTGTCATCAGAAGGGCTGGAAAAAGAAGCCAAGTGTGTTTACTAAAGCAATCTGGGTTGTGTTCTGTTCTGGAATAGAATGTGCAGTGGATACTCAAATATCCCAATATGCTTCGCTTGCTCTCCTGACCTAGAGTTAGATTAAACTGGAAAGCAGATGAAATACCATATTAGCTTTAGGCACTTGCATTTCAGCTCACATTAATCATATTTCTTCACCCAAATTTGGCATATCTCTTGGGATAATGCTGCTGCTTTTAGCTTGTGTGCAGTCATAGTCCAGCTATTTCCTTGCTATGTGCAAAGAACTAAGCTGAAATTATAATTAATTTGCTGGTCTGATCCTTGGAGTCAAATTAGCAAAGCAATTTTTTTCAACCTACTAACTTCCAACTTTTATTTAGGAGATTGTTCTTTTTCTCATTCCTGTTAGAGCTTGTTCGGAATCTGAGAAACTAGAAAGCTTTATGTTGTGCTTACCAGTGTACAGCATGTCACAGGCCTTTTTGCTTCACTTCAATTGGGTGTATTATATTTTATGAAAACTTGTCCTTACTTTTCTTGAATTTGTCACAACTGTCTTGTTTCCATATCTACATAGATGACAAATCCTGCTATACAGAATGACTTCAGCTACTATAGAAGAACTCTGAGCCGTATGAGGATTAACAATGTCCCAGTAGGTAACCCTTGGATAAGATGAAATATAGTCTTCTACCACCTCTCTTCTCCATGTACAGACAGCTAAACCCTTTCTTCTACTTTTTAGGCAGAGGGAGAAAATGAAGTAAATAATGAGCTGGCAAACAGAATGTCTTTATTTTATGCTGAAGCGACGCCAATGTTGAAAACCTTAAGTGATGCCACAACAAAGTTTGTGTCAGAGGTAAGAGTATAAATTTATGGCTTGGGTAATGTGCTTCACAGCACTGCAGGGTCAGACATAATGGGCATCACAACCTCCACCAGGGCATCTAGAAATAAAACTTGGTGTTTGGAGCCTCAAGAAATGTAATGCGTCTTTCCCAGATGCTGTAGAGTTAGGGCCTACAACCAGGCACTTTGTGTATGCATCCCCAAAATTTAATGGGTAGTGTCACATCAGCAGTGATGGCTTTCCTTAAGCAGGGAGCTGGGACAGGTATTTTGCCTGCATTGTGGTGGTTTAGAGCAGAAATTTCAGAAAATTGGAAGGGAAACAGCTTGATTCTCTCTGCTTGAAATAGAGAATGGAATTGAAGTGTAGCTTCCAGCTTCCTCTTTGCCCTCCCAAGACTCTTTTGTTACACTGTGTAAAGTCAAGTATACTACATTATTGCAAAAGGGAGAAGGAACCTGAACTGGAAAAGTATTTCAGCATGTTGACACATCCCTATATTTACCCTTGACTGCCTAAGTAAATATTAGTTGTAAAATCCAATCACCACAAGTAGTGTGCTTGCCTTCTGGTAACTGTGATGATTTTTGATTTATGTGTAAAGAATGCTCACTATTTCTTAGTAGAAAATAATTTTACATTACATGATTAATACAGAGTTACATCTGTCATTTAATGTTTTTTTTTTTTTTCTCCTGAGTTCTGCTTTATGTTTGAAATGCCTTAAGAAAACTGTCTTATTTTACATTTATTTGTGATGGTTGTCTGCCACAATTTTAAGTTTTGCTATTACAGCAGATGAATATATTTGGCTATAGAAATTTTTGTCTTTGAAGGAGGAGGTTAGATGATGATTCCTTCAAAACTTTCCAAAAGTCAGTCATGTCCAGGGTGTAGTTCCTTGGCTACAAACAAGCAGCCAAAACCCATGTGGTAGCCTTTGCTCTGTAAATTGCTAATCTATATGATAACATTAAAAAAAAAAGTGGAAGTCTACCTGACTTACCATAGTTGTGTTGATGCTTTTAATTGCTCCACATTGCTATGCCAGCAGATAACTGATTTGACTTAGGTTTTGTAGTATAATATTTCATTATAATTGAATTGTGGAAACTGTTCACCTTCTTTTGCAGAATAAAAATTTACCAATAGAGAACACAACAGACTGCTTAAGCACCATGGCCAGTGTGTGCAGGGTCATGCTGGAAACCCCGTGAGTACCAACACTGCTTGGGTTGGGTGTGAGTCACCTCTCTGTTTCAGACCTGACTTGTGATGCATGAAAGAAATAAAATTGGAGTAATTAGGAAATCTGATGTTTTCTTTTTATCAACCTAGTTGTTTACACTGACATGAAACCACCTTGTTTCATTTTGCAAGCCATGGAAATCGTGCGGTCTACTTTTCTGAACATATTAATATTTAAAAATAGAATGGCTATGGAAGCTAGACAACCTCTTGGCACTCTTTATAAGTGGTTTTCTCATGTATTATTCAGAGAAATAGGCTATTTGAGCATGATTGCCTAGGGTGTCCTGAAAGAGGGGCTGTGGGCAGTGCTCTGGATGTTGTGTCCTTGCTGACTGGCCTGGCTGATTGCTCCAACAAAAGGACAGTGCTCTTCTCAGGGGAATTAAGAGACAACTTCTAGGCATGAAGGCAGTCAGTTGTCTTCTGTTTATTTAAGAGGCACTGGGAGTATGACCAAAGTCACACTAATCTTTGGTTATTTTTTTAAATCTGTTGCTTCTGTATTCTAAATAGTTTTCTATTGGTAAAATTACTGGGGCATGAGCCATCTCTTTTTAAATAAGTTTCTGTCCAAATACCACAGGACATTTGTTTTGGAGTACACTAAGAGCTCCAAGCATTTATACTCTTACTCTTCTTAGGAATGGACTGTTCCAAGTAAAAAAGCAGTTAAAGGTTGTCAATTCGCCTGCCCTTTTTCTTCTAAGTCAGAATTTCGAGTGTGTATTAGAAGATGGCAGGGAAAAGTGTAGGAAGCACTGGAGACAAAGTTAGTATGTATTGTTTTGATATTTTTAAAAATTAAATTTTTTAAATTGAAAGAACCTGATTGCTTTAGGTTTGAGAATTTTTATTAATCTTCAGGTAATTTTCTAAACAATCATCTGACTTTTGGCAGGTTATTGAAAGGAATAAAGAAAACTCTCAAAAGTTTGGGGTTGGTTTGTTTTTTCTCTGAGGATTTATAGTAGAATTTATCGCTTTAATCTTAATTTGGGAGTTACTAGTATTTACTGTTATCTTGTGTTTCATAGATAATAAGCTGTGTTTTTAAATTCCAGTGAATATAGAAGCAGGTTTACAAATGAGGAAACAGTATCATTCTGTCTGAGGGTAATGGTGGGTGTCATCATACTCTATGACCACGTGCATCCAGTGGGCGCTTTTGCCAAAACTTCAAAAATTGATGTAAGTTTACTGTTGCTAAATAATCTCCTGAGTATTTAAATTGTGTGTAGGCTCTTTTTGTGTCTTGCAGATTCTAGTAGCAGATGTATGCACTGGGTTGGTGCTAAACACGTAGCTGTGAGCAAAAATATATATTTAAGTAGTGAGAAATACAAACAAGGCCTTCAGACATGTAAGTGGGTCATGAAAAATCTGTTTTTATGTAATTCAGGTAGTGTCTAGAAATACTTGTAAGCAGTGGTTGTGATGAAAGATCCAGATCAGAAAGTAACAATGGCCCCTGGTTTGTTCCTCACTGACTGCTCAGTTCACCATCCACCACACTTTGAGTTAAATTTCTACTGTTGTTTCTTAGTAAGCCTGTGGAATACATGCTTTTACTCTGGGTTTTGTGGTTATTTCAAAGGGAGTATTATCCCATTGTATTAACTACAGTTGGTCATTATTTCACTGGCTGAATGCAATAATTCTTAATGGATTTATGATAAACATGTATTTTTGCTCACAGTTCCTTTTTTTTTTTTTTTAAGGTTGATGAAGCAGAGCTTGAAAGTTGCATTCACTAAAGTTATCATAAAATGGTTTGGGTTGGAAGGGACCTTAAAGATCATCCACTTCCAGCCCCCCTGCCATAGGCAGGGACACTTTCCACTAGACCAAGTTGCTTAACACCCTGCCCAACCTGGCCTTGAGCACTTGCAGGGATGGGGGAGGCACAACATTCAAAGTCATTCTCCCTCATCTTATCACTATGCGCTCTTGTAAAATATCTCTTTCCAGCTCTCTTGTAGCCCCCTTTAGGTACTGGAGGGTGCTCTGAGGTCTCCCTAGAGCATTCTCCATGCTGAGCAGCCCTAATTCTCTCACCTTTTCCTCACTGGAAAGGTGCTGCAGTGCTCTGATCATCTTCATGACTCTCCTCTGGACAGCAATGTCATTTTTCTGCTGGTGACACGGAGCTGGTCCAGGTGGGGTCTTAGAAGAGCAGAGCAGAGGTAGAGAATCACCTCCCTTGCTGTGCTGGCCACATTTCTTTTGCTGCAGCTCAGGACAGTGTTGGCTTTCTGGGCTGCCAGAGCACTTTGCTTGGTCATGTTGAACTTCCCATCCAACAACACCCCCAAGCCCTTCTCCTCAGGGCTTCCAGTCCATTCCCTGCCCAGCCTGTGTTTGTGCTTGGGATGGAGTTGCAGGACCTTGCACTTGGAGTTGTTGAGCTTCATGAAGTTCACAGATCCTACCTCTCCAGCCTGTCCAGGTCCCTCTGGATGCCTTCCCTCCCCTCCAGACTGTCAGCCACTCCACTCAGCTTGGTGTCATCAGTAAAGTTGCTGAGGATGCACTTGATGCAGCTTTTTAAGTAGCTAAGCCAGTCTGTGATAGGAAGATGTAATACTGAAGGCTTAATTCCTTTCTAATATCCAGAAAATGTCTTTACACTGCTGCTATTTTTAAATACTAATTTTTGATCTTTTACATACTGAATATAAAACATTCCTGTAAACTCAGAAGGTATTAGCATGGAAAAAACTGTAATTTTTTTAACTCCTAGATGAAAGGATGCATCAAAGTTCTTAAAGACCAGCCTCCTAACAGTGTAGAAGGCCTTCTAAATGCTCTCAGGTACTCCTTTTTGTTTCTTGGGGTTTTTAAATGTTTTGATGTGAGTTTTCATAAATTGTCCAGGGCATTTTCTTTACAGCAAAGTATTCAGTGACTGTTACAGGGAAAGGTGAATGTAATTATTGCAAGCTTTTCTTCTAATGTGTCTTGAGACAAGGATGTGTGAAGAAGCCTCTGTGTTTTAACAGGGTTGTGAATTTGCAGTTGTTCATTCTAAGATAACCTTTTCCATGCATGCAGGTTAAGAATGAGTCAGTATGGCATGGTAAGTAACTAGAAATTGTTTCTTTTCAGAAAGACCTAAAGGCTTGAGTCTCTGCTGTAGAATAGATGAGACAAGAATTTGCGACATTAATTGGAGAAGTAAAGAAAAATTAATAATTCAGTATATTAATCCAAAACCTGCTAATTTGGGTTGTAAAGCTGTATCTATAGTCAGTCACATGTTCATTGTGTGGGTGTTCAGCATGGGAGAAGTGGCAAACAGTGCAAAAATGTGATAGGCAGATGAAGTCTTTGTTCTTGTCCTTGCTTGGTAAAGTATCATTACTTTGGTAACAAATAACTGTAACTGGGTGTTCTTACTCATGGTCTTGCTTGGAATGTGGCAGCTTTAGTTTGTCTTGTCTGAAATTGTGCAGTTGTGATTTGTTTTCCTTAGCTGTAGTGAAGCTACTTTAATTTCATTTGCCTTCTTTTTAGTGTGGTGGATTCTTTTGCAAAGTTGGTTCAGATTATTAGTTAAAATTTTTTAAATCCATGCCTAATTTGAAACTTCATGTGATTATTTCCATGCTAAAATCATGTTCATCTCTGAACTTCATAACATGATCAGTCTTTAAGATGTTAATCAGTAAAAACAGAGGCTTCCAGAGGGAAAATGCTGCATTAACATTTATTTCTCACTAGTTTATTGTGATTGCAGCTGCCATGATCACCAGTCTTTACTAGTAGCCCATTTTTCCCATCATTGCTGACACTATGAAAGTACATGGAAGGTGTAGTTCAGGTGCTCGCTGCACTAAGCAGTGACATTAACTTTTGGTTAATTACACAATTAACTTTGTGGTTAGCAGTGTAAATCCAGTCCATGCTCTCAAGCTGTGCTTTCCCTGCTCCAACCCTTCCCATGGGTTAGGACTGCTGTAACAGTCCTGGTTTTGTACATTTGATTACTCTCTAGGTAGGATATTTAAATCTTTTCTAAACCATGTTTGGAACTCTTAGGAAGAGATGCAGGGTGAGCTGCTGTGTGCTCATGTGATGAAAAGAGGTTCAAGATGTCATTGTAACAAAAATTAAGTCCAAATCTAAGTCTTTGATTTTGGAGGAGTGAGAAGTCCTTGTGTTTTCCCAAGAGACTGATAATGTGTTTCAAAAACAGATGGAAGGTGGTATAGGATTTTGGAGGGAGATCAGCTCTTTGTAATTTCAAATTCATCTGAGTATTGTAATCATGTTCAGCTTTTTCACATGGGCAGAATACCAAGAGCAATAACTTCTCAGGATTTCAGAAAACCTTAGGCTTCTTGTTTGTTGAAAGAATAAATTGCCAAAAGGTGCTGAAATCTACAGTATTATTAACTTAAAAACTAAAAAGTAATTATTTATTTATCAAGTGAACAAGTAAATAGTACTGCAGTTGTGGATAACAATGGCAGTGGTAATTTAACATGTTAAATTTAAATTATGAAGTAAGGTTTATTTGCTTTTAGCTTAGGAAGGAAGATCAGGGAAATTAATCATACAAGAAAGTCTGCAACTAAGATATCTTTTAAAAATAGAGATAGCTAGTTTTTTTATAGTGATTTAAAAATGTGCTGTTATCCTAGAGAATTTTGAAAGGAGAAGAAGCTGAAATAAGCACATGTATGTGCTCTTCAGTTTTAGCAGCACAGTTACTTCACTAAGTAGGAAATTAGGTTGAAAAGTGATTAAATCCATTGTCATTCAGGGATCCTAGGAAGGTTTGACTACTGGAAGTTTTGAAAAAAATGTTCTCAAGCTGTCTTATTTGAAGATTTTTCTTGTGGGCAGAGCCCTCAGAGTTAGTGGGATGGATAATTAATTATCTGTCACAAGTGGTACTGTGAGCTTACTGTGAAAGCCAATGTCCAGCTGAGGCTTATTTTGAACTCCCCTTGGTGCAAAGCTGCTAGATGCTAGTTCTGGTTGGCAATATCATTTTCTGATCAGAATGTCTGACTTGTGTTCTCAGTGATTGTGGAGTGGGTGATGATCCATGGCTGAGGGTTTTGCTCTGGTACAGTCAGGTTGAGCCATAAACAAAGAAATTACACATTTGTAAGATAAAGTGCAATAGCATCTATGCTCATCTTGACTTTATTTTTGTGTTTAGGTACACAACAAAGCATTTGAATGATGAGACTACCTCCAAGCAAATTAAATCCATGTTGCAATAACAATTACCTGGAATTCGCACCTGCTGTAGACAGTATTCTGCAATGAATGAGATGCACAGATATTATTTTTTTTTTTAGTGATTGCAACTACTATCTCGTTCATTCTTGCTTTTTATTTTCTCTCTTCCTGTTTACTCTTTTTTTAATCACTTTCTTGTACCTAAGTAAGCTCAGACTTCTTTTCTGTGCCAAATCAATAAATATTATCAATTCTGGAAAGTATTTCTACTTTTCAGAATAGCCATCCTAAGTGGCAGCTAATTATGCGTTGCATTTGGATTTCTCTGTACTGGGGAAAGATTTGTGACTTGAACTAAATATTTTTAAACTTGTGGTTTTTTTCTTTTTTTGAAAAACTAATATTTAATATTGCTTCTTCTGCATGGCAAGACTGCCTACTTCTGCTATTTAAAAATCCCTTGATGACTTCATTTTCTATTGCAGCTTATTTTCATGTGCAGCCATGAGGAAACTAAAAGCAGATTTGTTTAAATTAACTGTGTTTGTACAAAATGGTACCCAACACAAAAGTTTTTTTAAATAAGTAAAAACTGTTTTGTTTAAAAGTTACGTTTGCATTTTGACTCATTTTTGTAAGGATGTATGTTGTATGTTTAACCTTTAATAACTAACGTTAAACTGTGGTGTGTGCGTAGCAAATTACGTATGCATGTTCATGTCAAATGATTGGCTGTGGATAAGATAATAAAATCAGCTTTCATTTTTCTAAGTGTGGTTTGATTTACCAGTATTTTGAGTGAGATGTCTTCGTGCTCTTTTGGATTTTTACAAAAAAATAAATTTATAAATTTTATATAGTGAAAACTCTGCTGTTTCATTACCAGTAACCAGTGGCCTAAGCCACTGATTTAAGCCTGGCTGTTTTAGGTTTCTTGCTCTCCACTCTGTGCTGCTTCTCTCTCCCTGAGAATTATTACTCAGGTAGGGTTTGTGGTAAGCAACTTGGTGCAATCCATATAGATCCCAGTGGACACTGCTGAAGAACCTGTGTCTGGGCTACACATACTCCTTCCTCATACAGCCATCAGAAATGACTGCACACTGAGCTCTCTCCACACCAGGGGGTGGGGAGATGAACTCCCCTTGCTCTGTACTGCTGTGTACCCTTATGGATCTAGGTATTGTACTGTGTAAAATCTGAATAATCACAGCATATTAAATAATGTTTCTTCTTAGGGAAACAGTTTATAGCAACAAGACTTACACAGGTTGGTGAAGAACATTAAAGCTCTTTTGGGAGGGAAGGGATTAAGGGGGAAAAGTACAGCCCTTCCAAAGACCTTGGCAGGTTGGAGAGATGGGCAGAGAGGAACTGTCTAAAATTCAGTAAAGGCAAATGCAGGATCCTGCACCTGGGGAGGAACAGCCCAAGGCACCAGCTCAGCTGGGGACTGACCTGCTGGAAAGCAGCTCTATGGAGAAAGACCTGGGGAAGAGCAGCTGTCCGTGAGCCAGCAGTGCCCTGGAGGCCAAGGCCAGTGGTGTCCTGGGGTGTGTTAGGAGGAGCACTGCCAGCAGGCTGGGGAAGTGATCCTGCCCCTCTACTCAGCCTCACCTGGAGTGATGTCTGCAGTCCTGACCTCCTCAGGACATGGAGCTCCTGGAGTGGGCCCAGCACAGGGACTGGGAACATCACTCTTACAAGGAAAGGCTGGGGGAGCTGGGCCTGTTCAGCCTCAGAAAGAGAAAACTGAGAGGGGACCACATCAATGTCTGTCAGTGCCTGCAGGGAGGTGTCAGAGGATGGACCAGGCTCTGCTCAGTGGTGCTCAGCAACAGGACAAGAGGCAATGGGCAGAAACTGATGCCCAGGAAGTTCCACCTGAATATGAGGAAGAACTTCTTTACTGTGCAGTGACCAAGCACTGGTACAGATTTCCCAGAGTGTGGAGCCTCCTCACTGGAGATAGCCAAGAACTGTCTGGACATGATCCTGTACCATGTGCTCCAGCTTGAGCAGAGAAGTTGGTCCGGATGATCCACTGTGGTCCCTTCCAGCCTTACCCAGTCTGGGGCTCTGTGAGAACAAGAATTGAGAATGACTAGGAAACTCTGGGACATAGCATTGTTTTGCACTGATGAACAAACATGAGCACTCTTTGTGTGTGGCACCATTGTGATTATGCCTAACATGAGTTGTCAGTGTTCTGGAAAGGAGACTTGAAACCTGCAGGCAGGTGTGACTGCCCTCAGCTTTATTTGGTGGGCAAGTAATGTTTTGGAACTGCATAGCATGCTGGCTCCAGGTAGAATTTATCAGTGTGACCATGCTTGATTTCCTATGGATATTCCTTCTGCACCATCAAGAAACATTTTCCTTTTTATCTTTGTTTTGAAAAGAAGATATCTGCAAAATTGTAATTTATGACACTTGAAGACCTTGGAGGAGGTTCAGGTGTGTCCTGTGGGTATCTGTATGTCCGTCTCTTAGGGCAATACATTTTTTCTTTTTAGCCAAAGATGCTTAGCCAAGGTCTCTGTCACAGAGAAACCGACCCATGTGCTTTGGCTGGCCACAGGAATAAAATACTGCTTTGACATGACACTACTCTAGTCCTTTTGGCATTATCACAGTTGAATTGAGCTGAGGAATTATAAAACTGGATTTGTTTGGGGTTTTTAAAAAGAAGAGAAAAAAAATCTTTCCTGGAATCATGTGAATGCTACAAACTGTATACAACTGACCCTTCTGCAGGGATCTGAAAGGGAAACTGTACTCATCAGTTCATCACCCTGAAGAAAATATAATAATTTAGTGTCAGCCTTGTTGCTGTGAATACAGTTAAAGAATAATAATCCCAGGAGGAGCAAATCATGTTCCTTCCAGTATTACTTTTTGTAAGTAAACCTTTCTAAAGGAAAGCTAATTTACAGAGAATGGGTTTTAAGAACAACTTTTGTATTTTCCCATTTTTACTTCTGATTTTATTGAAAAACACTTGAAAGAGTAAATCAGGTCTGAGTGCTGTTGTGGCAGAACCAGCCATACAGCATATTTCTTCTTTGTCTTGCCTCAGTGACTGCTGCCTAAAACAACACTATTTCTTCTTCAGTTGACTGTTTTGGACAGGTCTTCCTTTCTGCTGCCCTGATGGCATTTTTGCTTTTAAACATTGTTGTTCCTGTGGTCTGAGAATAATTGGAGTTTTCCTTTTTTTCCTTTGGCATTTGTGTTTTGCAGTGTACGCAGCTGGGACGGGAGATTAGAGCTGGCTTGCCTTGGAGTTGTCTGGCCCACTGCTCCACAAGCTTCCCCACTTCTGAGGTTTCCAAGAAAACAGCCTTTTCCAGTGCACCAGGCATCAGCTGTTTGAAGTTTTGAGCTGAAACTGGTGTGTGTTTATTTTCAAGGTCTGGTACTTGCAAAACCATGCTTTAAATTTGCCCTCTTCATTTTTTCTGTGCCAATGGACAGGAGAACAGCTGGCAGGCCCGGCACTAAGTATGGGTCACTAAATAGCCTCTATGTAAGTTTGGAGGGGAAATTTGGCAGCATTTGGATGGCACCACCCTGTTGTGTGTGATAGCCCATAATTTTGGGGGCTGGGCTGGGTAGCACTCAATGGTTAACGTAAATGCTGTGCTCAAATTAGCCACCCTGCGTGTGCTGTGAGCTAGTGTAACCAGCCTGTAGCTGTTGTGGATGAAAGGCCTTCTCCTCATGGTGGTGTGTCTCTGAGTGTAAACACCATTGCTCCTTTCTTGCAAGCCTCAGATGCCAGGCACAGATGGGTCTGTGGGGCAAGCCTCTACAGTTGTGTGTGTGATGTGTCACAGACAGTAAAGACACTGCATGGCTGACAGTGTGTGCCATGAGTGGAACAGGTCTGGAGCAGAGGACCCTGAAATGGCCATGTTTCATGTGGGCTTAGCATTCCTGTGCAAACATCTCATTCTGGATGAGCTGATGTCCTCTGGCTGCTTTCTCCTGGCTTTACACAGCCAATGCCAGCGTGTCTTCTGGAACAGGGGTGTGATTGCTCATCTTCTTTTTCTTTGAGTCTGCTAAGCTTGGTATTGTCTTTCTGTCCCTGCAAAGACTTAGACTGGTGAAATAATTAGCAAGGAGTAGTTAAGGCAGTTGCTCTGAGTTTATAGCTAGATGTGTGATTTGAGGAGTGTGTCAGTAAGAAGTTCACTGTGATGGTTCCCTGGATGCTGCAAACATGTGTAGTCAGAAGTCCTCTTGGATGCAGGAGGCATCTCTGAGGGGGCCTTTTTTGGCTGTAGTGATGAGATTGCTTATTTGTCAAAATCTTGAGAAATAACTCTGTGAAGCAGCTTCTTTTGTCAAAACAGAAAACTGTAGTAGCAGCTCAGGGAGCAAGGACTAGAGCAATCCCAGTATAAAGTTCATGATATCAATTTGCATATGAATTTTGTAATGAATTGCTATCACACAGGCTATTTAAAAAACAGATGATTGCAACCAGCTTGGTGTCATCTGGCCACTGGTCTGGCTCCCCCTGTGCTAATGACCCTTTCAGGCTGGTTTAATCCCTCAGTTTTATTACTGTGGTAAAGCTGGCTGGACAGGCTTACCTCTTCTGTCAAGGTTACAACAAAGGGCTGTACCTGACGACCAAATCTAGCCAGCTATAAGCTGTCTCGTACATCTGTGTGGTGCCATGGACTCTGTCACAGCTGTAGCAATGAGAAGTGGGCCTTTGTGGGCTTCTGTGGGCCAGTGGTGAAGTTATCAAGTCACTGCATGTGTGTTACAAATTACAAGATTAGGCCAAGTGGTAGAATCGAGTTTCCTCAAGGGGATCTGCCAGATTAAGCACTGGTCTTCTGATCTCCTGAACATATACAGGGATACCTTGTGCTGCAGGAAGATGTCAGATACAGCTGATACTGCTGAATCACTTGAACCCTTGGATGTTTAATTGTATAGGTTCACTGCTGTAATTATTTCACCAGCAAGTGCTCCTCTGCATGTTAAAAAGTTACAAAGACTTGGTGTGTTGTGAACATGCTTCCATGACGCTGCCATTGTATGTCAGTGGTCCTGGAGCTCCCAGGGCCACACTTCCTTGCAGGCTTTCCTCAATTGCCCTGCTCAGTCATATGTTTTAGAGCTACAGCTTCACCCAAGACCCTCTGTTTTCCTTTTGAAAACATTCATCTTACCTGTCTTATATATGCAAGTGTGTTGGTGCTGTCAGTTATTTTCCATATACTTGTAAGGAATTATTGAGGACAAGTCTTAGGATGGCTCATGTGATCTCAGTTTGTGCAAGAGGAGTTGGAGAAATTCAGGAGGTGTATTTGTCTTCTCCCCTTCTGCAGTGTGCTGTGAACTGAAGCAGTCTGCTACCCCCTGCAGGCTCCTGCCCCAAGGCCCTGCATTCCCTGCTCCTGCCTGAGCCCTGTCCCAGAGCCAGCACTTTACTGCAGGGATCAGAGGTGTCCAGGAGTTGAGATGAGGAGTTACAAGCACCTGGTGACTGTGATGGTGAAATGAGATACAGGAGTGCTGTGTCCTGTCCTGGTTCCTGCTGTGGGGTTCCCTCATTAGAGGTGGCAAATTCCTGTTTGGAAAATCCCAAGGTCTCCAGAGGAATGGTTCTCTGCATTCTCCCCATCCTTGCAATTCAGGGTGTATCACTGATGTCCTCATCCTCAGAAGCAAGGAGAGCTCCTGCAGGTGACAGCGGTGACCTCTGTGGTCATGGTAGTCTGAGACAGCCCCAAGTCAAAGCTGGTCTGGCAAGAACATGTATCTGGCTTGATCTGTGGTCTGACCCATCTCTTCCTTGGATGCAGGAAGGAAACAACTGAGCTGCTGATTTTGTCCTATG